AATGTCAGGGAAATCAGGATCTGAAATGTCTTGAATTACAGGGACAGCCATGGAACATTTGGACGGAAAACAGGTACTTAAACATCCCTTACACCAAGCAATAATCTTGCCAGTGGACCAGTCTATGTGGGGGTTATGTAGGGTAAGCCAGGGGTACCCCAAAATGATTGGGTGTTCGGGGGACCGAAAAACATGAAAGACGAGAAGCTCAGTGTGACCGTCCAGGAAACTTAGCTGAAGAGGTTGGGTGTGGTGAGTTACCCTACAGAGAAGACGGCCATCCAAGGCACTTGCTTCCATTGGTCTTGGAAGAGGGAAAGTCTCAAGGTTCAGCTTCTTAGCCAACTCAAGGTCTATAAAACTGGCATCTGAGCCAGAGTCTACCAAAACAGGATGCCTGAGAACCACAGAAGACGAAGAAAGAGTGACATTTGGGAGACAACGTGAGGGACTAACATTAAGTGTAGTGCGGCTCACCAGTGCCCTCTTCTTTACTGGCGAGCCAGACCTTTTAGCAGGCTAGAATAGAATAGGGAGGGATGAAACCCTCTTTAATGGTCACACATGCAGAGCACACAGCACACAGTGAAATTTGGCCTCTGCTTTTAACCCATCCTAGTACAAGGAGTCTAGTACTAGGAGCAGTGGGCAGCTATTGTACAGCGCCCGGGGAGCAATGGGAGTGGGGGGGAAGGGGGGTGTCCGGTGCCTTGCTCAAGGGCACCACGGCAGGGCAGGAGGTGAACTGGGACCTCTCCAAGTAGAAGTCCACACTCCATATTTAGGTCTGGTCGGGGACTTGAACCAGCGACCCTACGGCTCCCAGTCCAAGCCCCTACTGACTGAGCCACTGCCGGTACAGTTACAGTTGGCGATTGAGCTACAGTTGGCGATTGAGTGTCCCCGTTCACCACAGTAGAAGCACCTGCCCTCCCGCAGGCGGCGCTGTCGCTCTTCAGGGGTCAGCTTGGTCCTGCCGAGCTGCATGGGCTCCTCCGGAACAGCAGGGGGCGACAGAGGCGCTGTAGACGGAAGCCAGGGCCTGGGGTGATTCCATGAGGATGAAGAGCTGGGCGAAGACTGCCTCTTGTGGGAGAAACAGGGGATCGCAGTGTCTCTCTCTCGCTCCCTCTCTATCAGTCGCTGGTCAATCTTAATAGTCAATGAAATTAGGGAGTCCAAATCAGCTGGAAGCTCAAGAGGAGCTAACTGATCCTTTAAAGTGCCGGACAATCCATAAAGGAAAGCATCAAACAATGCTGATTGGTTCCAGTCACTGTCCGCTGCCAGGGTACGGAACTTTATAGCATAGTCAGAAACCCTCTGCTTACCCTGGCGCAATCCAACGAGTGCTCTGGCTGCCTCCCGCCCAGGTGGGATGTGCTGGAAGATCTTGGTGAAGGTCTCAGAGAAGAGACTGAGGGAGTCACAAACGGGAGACCTTCGCACCCACTCTGCCGTCGCCCAAGCCTCAGCTCGACCAGAAAGGTGGGAGATAATGTATGCCACCCTTGAGCGCTCAGACGGGTAGCATGCAGCCTGGAGCTCAAAGTGGCAGAGGTGTGGACTCGAGTCACATGACTTGGACTCGATTCAGACTCGAGTCACCAATTTGATGACTTTGGACTCGACTTGACAAAATCACAAAACACTTGCGACTCGACTTGGACTTGAACACTAATGACTCGGGACTTGACTTGGACTTGAGCCTTCTGACTTGATGATTTAATTCAGAGGTCTCCAACACGCCGATCGCGAGCTGCCGCTCAAAGAGCAGACTCGCGTCAGGGAAAGCAGAATCTCCAGCCGCTGCAACTCTTGCTGAGAATCCTTGCAGGCAGGGGCGGGACTTTATTTAGCTGGGCCACCATGCGGCCAATCATATGCGAGGACACACTAGGATCATACCATTATGTGAAAGAAGGGTGGGGGGCAGACGCTCCAAAGACAGCAAGTGTAGTGGTACAGGCCAGCTACACAGAGCGACGGGGAGACTGGGAGCCGGATTTAAATGCAAGCGCGTCGGAAAAAGTCAAGAAATTAGCGAAAACCGAAAAAAGAAGCAGCATCTGGCTGCATTTCAATGATATTGGAGAAAGCAGAGCTGAGTGCAGGATTTGTAAAATAAAATAACCTTCAGAGCAGGGTTTTTTTTTTGGTAACCACTCAGGATTTATTGTCAGAGGTGGGAGAAGTTCAGATCTTGTACTTGAGTAAAAGTACCAGAGTGTAGGAATACTCGGTTACAATAAAAAGTCCTGCATTCAAAATGTTACAAGTAAAAGTACAAAAGTATTAGCATCAAAATATAGTTAAAGTACCACCTGCAGAGGGATCTAGATGCAGGTGTTCTTTTCCCCAGAGACCGCCTCGCTGCACATTATCCCTTGCATAAAGATAGATTGTGGGTCCCTTATAACATGTTGTACACAGTGGAAATAAACATTCTGGTCACCTCAACATCAGGGATCTTATACATTAAACTCCTTCTGAATCAATCCGTCACGGTAGCCTTACCTTACTGATCCCTATTAAAATAGAAAAAAAACACGTTACTTTACCAGCAGAGAGAAAAAAGATTATTAAATGATTAATGTGACTAATAAAGAGCAGTTTGATTATGAAGTATTATTCTGTTGATCGATGTCATTACATTTGTTGAAAAGCACATAAGGACTTGTTTAAGACTTGTTTTGTCAAAGTTTAGGACTTGGACTTGACTTGAACTTTCCCATCCTGACTTGAGACTTGACGCGGACTTGAGCGCAAAGACTTGAGACTTGACTCGGACTTGAGCGCAAAGACTTGAGACTTGACTCGGACTTGCAAAACAATGACTTGGTCCCACCTCTGCAAAGTGGAGGCCGCATTGAGCCAGGAAAGCCCGACAATCACCGGAATCCCCAGAAAACCGCTCTGGTCGGGAGAGGTGAGGAGACAGGGTCAGAGTTGGAGACTGGACTGGAGTAGGATCCACTGGGGAAACAGACAATGGGGGAGCTGGAGGACTTGACTGGAGGAATAGTTTTTGGATATTTTCGACCAAATAACAGACTTGCCCACCAAAAGACGACAAAACTGACTCCCGTCTCTCGGCCATCAACTTTAAGTCCTGGCGAAGCCCGGTAAGTTCCTCCTCTTGGTGGAAAATCCTCCTCCCTTGACTCTGAAGAGCAGCCCGCACAGAATCCTGGTCGGCTGAGTCCATGCTGGCCAGTTCGTACTATCAGGCCCAAGTACGGGCACGAGCAAAAATAGGACTCAAGAGCACAACCAGGCAAAAAGGTCTTTAGTCAGGCGTTTAATCCAAAAGGCAAATACAGGCAAAGGTCCAAAAATGTAAAGACTGGAAGGAACGAAAAACAACCAACAAGTTGGCGGAAAACTACTAAAGAAGCAACAACAAAAAGCAACCAACTAGGTTGGTAAAAATGCTAAGCAGCTAGAACAATAGCTTACGTCAGGAGAGTAACATGGAGCACTTGCTGCTATACAGACAAGACGAACTGGCACTGACCAAGGAAACAGCACAGACTAAATACACAGGTGATGAGTAATGATTAGGGGCAGCTGAGGCTCATTGAGGCCAGGCAGGTGATTAACAGGGAAGGAAAAACACACAGGTGAGGGAGTGAGGCGATCAGCCAGGGCCAGGATGTGACACTGGCTCCCATTGTACTTTTAAAAACTCTAGGAACAACCAACAACCCTGCATTCTTGGAACGCAATGCCCTAGTGGGACAGTAGGGTATAATGAGTTCTTTAAGGTAAGATGGCGCCTGCCCATTAAGGGCTTTGTAGGCGAGAAGAAGAATTTTAAATTCTATCCTGTCTTCTATAGGGAGCCAGTGTAAGGCAGCCAGAACAGGAGTAATGTGGTCCCTTTTCCTAACTCTGGTTAGTACACGTGCTGCTAATAACAGTCCCCAGACTGTAATTGGCCTCTAGTGTACTGTAAATATCTCACGTTTATACTGTTTTATAGGAGTATTACTTGTAGTGTGTGTTGGATTGCCAGAAGGTAGATAGTAGGCTTATCTTGTAAAAACGAAACACAACTGTAGGAGCATATTTAAGTACACACTGTAAAATAATTTCTTATTGTTGTACTCACTGGTGGGTAACATTATATAGACAAATAAAACATTAAGATGAGGAATTAAGATGCTGCAGTTTTCTGTAGGTGCAACAAAGAAAAGAAAACATCTTAAACAATATGTCTTTTGGAAACAAACAGTGTTCATATGGTCTTTGAACAAGTGTTTTAGCAGCCTAAAATATGTAGATTAATACCTCAGAAAATTGCAGATAGCACTCCTGTTAGAATTACTTAATAATTTAATAATGTGTAGCTAATGAGCCAAGCTAACTTCTTATTAGCAATGCTAACGTATATGCTAGTTAGCTACTGTTGACCTTCTCAATGCCTCTTCCTACTACCTGTTTATTGGATTTAATCCTTGTTTCTGGGATTTCTGTGAGTTAGTAAGCATTAATCAGCTAAATTACACCTCCCATAAATATTGTTTATGTCTGACTGTTAGCTAACTGAAAAAACATTAGTTAAAGTGACCATTTTTGCTAGCAGTTGAGCACCTATGTGGATACCAGTTATTCTACTAACAAAATCATATAGTATATATATATATATATATATATGATATCATTATTTAATTATAAAAGTGAATCAACTGTTAGCTTTTTTTAGGTTAAACACACAACAGAAGCAGCTTCCCACACTAACTATCAAACTAACCTAACATGATGAACATACCTCCTAAAAATAAGCATGCATCATTGTGAACATATCAGCATTCTGACATTGGCCTGTAGCTCATTTACTGCAGCATCTCTTAGCATAGCATGCATCTGTATGACTTTGAATGTAATTATCTATACACAAAACAATATTACTTTATCTGCATGGCTTTATGCCTCTTGAAATTAAACAATGTATTCTTATTTTGGTGACCTTATACCCTGTAATTCATTCTGTCTAGATAAGCACCGCAATCTGCGAGAACAGCAACCAGTTTTTCAAGAAGGCAAAATGGGTGATGACACTGCGACTCTGCACATGGACGGCATCCCTGCAGACACGCTCCTTAAGGTATGTAACCTGAAGAAGAAAAACGATTGTTGTTGTCGTTTGTTTAGATTCTGCTCACCATCGTGAAGATCAGAAACAGTTAGTATTATATTGGGACACCACAGCATTTACAAGTCAAATTCTGCTAACATAATGCAGTACATTTGCATCACACCGGACAGAAGATAAATCAGCATTTACCAGCCATTCACTTTGCTGGTGGACACACTTTTATATTTTGCACCCTGTAACCACAAGTGAAAACAATATTTAATGCATACAAGGAAAAAGTTGTGGGCTACAACCAGTGGCGGCGCCAGGGTATTTTTGTTGGGTAATCTATGGTAGGGCTAACCCATACAGTGGTGGTGCTCAAGTCAGTATTTGCAATTGAATTACATACACGCTATATCGCCCCCCGTGAAACAGTGAAATGCCACACGTGAGGTTTAGATTATTTCCCTTTCTCCATCAAAATGGAACTGTATGAAATAAAACGGCACATCTGTAAATAAAAAGGGATCACTGTGAACGTGACGTATGATAGTACACGTTGAAGATCCAATAGGGATACTGAATGGCGGTTTCGATTGATCTCAATCAGTAAGGCATGACGCAGACAACGTTGAATTGCTCTGATTGGCTGTAGGTCTATTCAAATTGCATTCGGAGGCATTTTGATCTGACCGCGGCCGCACTTAACGCCAGAGAATTTCCACACCTTTCGTGTTTAAAACTCCCCCACTACTTAGACTATTCCTTGCACCCCTCTTCTATAAGCCCGAATGGTCTCAACCATATTGCATCAGTAACGTGCACTTGTTGTTACAGCAGGATCAGTTTGTGTGTTGTGGACACGACCCGTATATTTTCGCAATCCATGTTCTCAACATTTTGCATTTTGCTTATTATTTAATTGAATTTGCTTACTTTAACATCACTTTTCATGGTGGGGCTAAGGTGGGGCTAAGCCATTTCTTGGTATGGCTGTAGCCTACCCCAGCCATACCCTGGCGCCGCCACTGGCTACAACTTTTAGCAGTGTCTCTAATATAAAAGTGCTTCAGCTGTGTAAAAGTTACATTTTTGAAACATTCATGACTTTCTGTCTCTGTTTTTTAAATATTGTTACTCACTGTCTGTTTCTGCTTCTGGGAAGATACTGAGATTAAGAAACCACGGATTGTATTAGTATCATTCATGCAGGACAATCAAGTCATAGGATCATTTAGTGAAATAATAACTGATGTTGTAACAATATTAGTATCATTTTGCAATAGACTTCCAGTTAAGCTTTGTATTCACCAAATCACTAGGTTTTATTAAATACAATGTCAATATGCTTGTACTTCACTTGATTACTTCCAGTTTCTCCTACTACTTTAAATAACAGCACAGCACAACATTTGTTTGAGAATTTAAATTACTTTCCAGATAAAGAAATAGGTATACAAATAAATGATGATATTGTGAACCCCAAGCTATGCTGCAGTGTATATATATTAATACATATGGAATATATCACATAACGTATTTTATGAAAATAACATTATGTGATGTTCTTTTTTTTCTTAACAATATCCATAAAATAGAAAAAGCATCAATACAAAGAAGCATATCTAAATTGTCCAGCATGATAATATATATATAAATAGATATTCAAAGATTCATAATAATCACATGTTTTCCATCAATATTAAAAACATACCTTATAAATGCATAATAATTAAAACCAATACAAATGCATAAGAAGTACTTTGATTTGGGCCCTAAGCCGATAAAGAGTATATCAATGTAAGGTCCAAACCATCAGCGTCATGATGGAGGCAGGAAGGCACGCCTTCCCTCTGGTAAAGAAGCAGCAAGCATGTAGAGACAAGTGACAAAGAGGTTAATCACGAGAGGAGGAGATTAGGAAATGCCAATGAAAAACACGCCTATGGAAAGTTACTGCAACAAAAAAGGAGAATAAAAGAGGAGACATGCAGGAGCAGAGTCCACAAAAATATTATGAAATGATCACACAAACTGTAGGGGTCTCCTACATGTTTGTAATAGTGGGAATATAAAATAATAATAGTGAAAAGTTCAATAATTTAGCACATTTCATTTGAAAAAATGTGTTATAAAGTATATGCATGCTTATATTGTAGGTGTTTCTCTTGTAAAATAAGCAACAAGTCACATTAAAAGTCAGCTGTAAAAGATTGATGTTCTTAAAGCACACACGCATGTTGCAACTTATGTCACGCTCAAACTCGTCCGAGGTATTTTAGATACTCAAAACAAAGAAGATATGTGGAAATGTTCCCAGCTGCCAAATATTCACCATGATGCAAATCACAGATAGAGTGGTTGTGAAACTGGTCCTGTTTGTGATCCAGTCTGAGCCTCCATGATGAAAACCCTTTATACACAAACACAATAATCCTGCACAGATTTCACAAATTCACACACTTTATAGGGCGTGTCTGCAATCAGGAGTTTATTGGATTTAGGAGGGTAACGTTTGCTACATTTGACTTAATTTGAATCCCTAATAGAGAGTTGTGAAAGAAAATGCTCTCACGTGCTCGCCACGTGTAGAGCAATAACGTTAATGTAGAAATCTAGATGCAGTTTTTAAAAAGTTGTTTTCCAGCTCCAAAGGAATGGGAAAACAGGAAGAGAACTGTGAATTGTTGTTGGCATCTCCAGAGGATCGTCACATGTCGGCCTTTTCCTGCAGAATAACACGTCATTTAACAGAAATGTCATTTTGGTTTACAAACAGGCCTTTATGTTGCTGGTGGCATGTTTTGACAGCTTTAAGTGCACATTTCTAATACTTTTTATGATTAAAAGCAATATAGGAAATATTTTATTACGCATTAAATGATACAGATCTGTCCAATATAAAGGTGGAAGAAGTACTCAGATTATGTACTAAGTAAAAGTAGCAATACTGCAGGGTAAAATTACTCTGTTACAAGTAACAATCCTGATTTCAGAATTGTACTTAAGTCAAAGCTAACAAAAGTATGAGGATTAAAAATAAGTATTTGTCATGCAAGTTGGCCATTTTTATCACCAGATATGTTTTTATTAAAATAATTGGTGGATTAATGTGTTCATCACTTCACTGTAATGTGTGTCTATTTATATATTGTATTAATAACCTACATCTGCAAAGTAGGTAGTGACTAAATATGTAAAGTAAAAAATATGAAGTAGCATCAAGTGAAAATACGCATGTACCTCAAAAGGTGTACTTGAATAAATATACTTTGTTACTACAACACTGCTGTTTAAGTTATTTACAGATTATTCTTTGTGTTTTAGAATCAGTGCTATATTTACCGGTCAACAAATCACCAGCAGCTTTTGTATTAAAATGAAACACTGCTCTACTGAAGGTTTGTCAATACAGTAGTTTTGATGCTGCAGATTTTGAGTAAATGCTGCCCTCTTGTGGATAAATTATGTAAAATGTCACTTAAACTTAATTCAATTTAGTTACATTTTATACATGTTATTTATTGTTTTTGTCTGTAAATATTAGATTTCTATTTTGTTCTCTTTTTAATGAAAAGTAAATATAAAACCTTGTTTTAAAAGCATACAAAAAAGAGGAAAAGCAAGTTGATTCTAACAGAAACGACAGACTGAATCAATCTGTACAAACATATTTATTTCATATGTTATTATTTATTATCATAATTTCCATATTGGCTTGTTTTGTGTTGACTTCACTCTCTTGGCTTTTTAATGACTGTTTTTAAATGCCATTTTATCACGTGTTTCCCCTGCACTACTTTTTAATGCTCCTAAGTTTTTCATTTTTGTAAAGCACTTTGAATTGCCTCGTGTTGAAAGGTGCTTTATAAATAAACTTGCCTTGCCTTCAGATCATTTAAATTAACTTAAATAATTGTATTTATTGTGTGTTTCTCTGTTTTCAGGTGCAGAAGTACCTGGATTGTTTCCACCTGTCTCTGCAGAAGCTTCAGGAGGTCTCGGCTCGCCTTCGGAAGGATCTGGTTCGAGGTTTGGGGAAACACAGCCACCACAGAGCGCCAGTAAAGATGCTGCCCACCTTCGTCACGGCAACGCCGGACGGGACCGGTAATATTTTTTATGTTATGTGTATATATAATACAATAATTTCATAATGAACATTTTTAGCAAATGTTTTCTTCCTATTGTTTTTACATTTGTATGTTCGTTATACAATATGTTGCACTTTACCACCACTGTGCAGATCTTTTATTTTTAAATACACATGTATTTTATGATCTTTTATCAATCTATTCTTATGCATATTTATATATTTAAACACCATACTCTATCCTGTAGTTTATATAACTTGTTTATTTCTTGTTTTATCACGCAGCACATCATGCAGTTTTATTCTGGGACAGAATTTCTTTTAAATGTATGTTTATACAGCTTATATTTTAAACTTTCTTATATGCTAGTCTGTCTGTCTGTCTATTAATTTAAATAAAGATATTTATACTACTTTTGACATTTTAACCACCATAATAACCAGTTTTATCATGATTTGTTGCTAGAAATCTAACAAAATTCCTTCACACTTTTTGATGAACCGATCCCCTTCCCTGCTCCCCGCAGAGAAAGGCGACTTCCTGGCGTTGGATCTCGGAGGAACGAACTTCCGGGTGCTTCACGTCCGCGTGGTGGAGGAGCAGCAGAAAGTCCTGAAGATGGACAGTCAGATCTGCGCCATCCCCAAGGAAATGATGCTGGGATCAGGAGAGCAGGTGAGGCCGAAGCAGCATTACATATACAAATACAGTATATACAGTACCTAAAAAGAACAAAACACTACTTTAGTGTCTTCATATTCTGCTACTTGTCTCCGTCTCTTTTCTGTCCAGTTGTTCGACCACATCGCCGACTGTCTCGGGGACTTCCTCGTCTCCCATAATCTGAAGGGACAAACTCTTCCTCTGGGCTTCACCTTCTCCTTCCCCTGCGAACAGAAAGAAATCGACAAGGTCTCTCTCACACACACACACACACACACATACACATACACACACACACACACACACTCTCTTAACCCTTAAATGGGCATTCATAACATATTTTGGAAAATGTATTGATTGCTACAGTATGTTCTTAATTACACCCATGTTACACTGTTATTACTCCCACGTAACACCAATATTACACCTTGATCACATCATAATTACATTATTAGACCTATATTGCACCCATATTAAACATGGACACAGCCAGTCAAATGACTGTATCCCCCAGGATACATAAACCATTAAAGTGTTCAACTAAGATTTCTAATAAGTATATGAAAATATTATTGCATGAGATTTAAAGCACTGCAGGTGTTTTTGAAAGAAAATCAACTAGTTTTACATATAATATAAGACTTTTTTTCCTTTGTATAAAACTTGAATGCTATATGTTTCCTGTACAGAGCATCCTGATCCGCTGGACTAAAGGCTTTAACTGCTCTGGGGTGGAGGGCGAAGACGTGGTGAAGCTACTGAGAAAGGCCATTGACAGGAGAGGGGTCAGTACTAAATACTGCTGAGTTTTACACTATTATTACACCTATATTACACTGTTATTTGACCCATATAACATCCATGTTACACCATTATTAGACCCATATTACACTGTAATTACACCTATATTACACTGTTATTTGACCCATATTACAGCCTTGTTACAGCATTATCACATCTATATTACACTGTAATTACACTGGTATTACACCCATTTTGCACATGGACACAGCCTGTCAAATGACTGTATACCCAGGATACAGAAACCATTTTCCTTAAATGATTATTATAATTAATCTCTCTCTGCAGGACTATGATATTGGCTCAGTTGCCATGGTGAACGACACAGTGGGCACGATGATGAGCTGCGGCTACAGAGACCAGAGCTGTGAGATCGGCATGATCATCGGTAAACATTTATTTTAGTCAACATTAGAGAAACATTCCGAAAAATATATGATATATTATATTATTTAATATTATATTACATTATGTTATATATTATATGATATGATATAGTTTATTTTATATTATGTTATATTATATTTAACTACATTATCTTACATATTATATTATATCATATCATATCATATCATATCATATATTATATTATATATGTATAAAATGGAAATACTCCAGCATAGTATAAGTACTTTAAATTAAGTACAGTAACTGAGTAAATGTACTCATTTACTTTCCACGACTCAATCATTTGTGTGTTTATTTATATTTTGTATTGATCTATGGAGAGTGCCCTCCAAAGACGGAACTATATAAAATACATAATTCATTATGGTACATTATAAATGTCGGGGGAGGTGTTTACGTTATACACAGTAGATATATACAGTAATGTACTGCTATTAATAAGGTAAGGGAAGAAAAGGGGTTTTCCCGGAGGATTTGGGGTATTTTCAGTTTGTTTTGGAAACTGAAGATAGCTGATTCTTGCAGTCCCAGCAAAACCCACATTACCCATGAGGCTGTTCTTCTGTAATCATGGAAAACCACAGCCTCTCAGGTGTAACTGGACCTCACAAAACATAGTATTTCTCACCTGACGTACATAATGTGTTTCACCTGGTAAAAAAGAGATGCTCCCAACAGAAAATCACATTAAATATAATGAGCGTCGAGTTGTAGCTGAGAAACGGCTCCTTCCTCTAATTAGCTTTGTCTGGGAGATATATGAAATATGTAAAATTATCAATAAGGGAATTGTGTGGTGTGTGTGTGTGTGTGTGTGTGTGTGTGTGTGTGTGTGTGTGTGTGTGTGTGTGTGTGTGTGTGTGTGTGTGGTGTGTGTGTGTGGGTGTGTGTGTGTGGTGTGTGTGTGTGTGTGTGTGTGTGTGTGTGTGTGTGTGTGTGTGTGTGTGTGTGTGTGTGTGTGTGTGTGTGTGTGTGTGTGTGTGTGTGTGTGTGTGTGTGTGTGTGTGTGTGTGTGTGTGTGTGTGTGTGTGTGTGTGTGTGTGTGTGTGTGTGTGTGTGTGTGTGTGTGTGTGTGTGTGTGTGTGTGTGTGTGTGTGTGTGTGTGTGTGTGTGTGTGTGTGTGTGTGTGTGTGTGTGTGTGTGTGTGTGTGTGTGTGTGTGTTGTGTGTGTGTGTGTGTGTGTGTGTGTGTGTGTGTGTGTGTGTGTGTGTGTGTGTGTGTGTGTGTGTGTGTGTGTGTGTGTGTGTGTGTGTGTGTGTGTGTGTGTGTGTGTGTGTGTGTGTGTGTGTGTGTGTGTTGCCTGAGCTGCAGGCTGTTGTGATCCTGACTTGGATGCTAATACAATTATCACCATGGAAACAGTAAATAAATGGTTGTTACCTGGAGTACAAAATAATAAAGACATGAATATGATAACATAACAATCAACAAAGTAAAGGAGGAAAATAAATGTCTGTCTCATAAATTATATAACCTTATTTTATGTTACATTAAATTATATTATATTATACTGTATATTTTTATTATTATATTATATGATAATATTTACATATATATACATATATATAACATTATATATTATTTTATATTACAATACATTTTATATTACCTTATATTATATTTGATTACATTATTTAATAGTATATTACATTATATATTACATTATATTGTATTATATTATACTGTTTATGTTATTATTATATTATAAGATAATATTTTATATTACATTAGGTTATATATTATATTATTTTATATTGTATTACATACATTACATATCTTACATTATATTATATTATATTTGATTAAATTATTTTATATTAGATTATTTTATATTAGATTATTTTATATTATTGTCCATCTGTCCCTGCAGCTAATCTGGCATACAAGAACACCAGTCATTTTATTCTTTGCTCATTACTTGAATGTTCAATATCCTCTTGTAGTTGCATTTATTTACAACAAAGCATTTCCGACAGGTACGGGAACCAACGCCTGCTACATGGAGGAGATGAAGAACGTGAAGCGAGTGGAGGGTGAGGCCGGGCGGATGTGCATCAACACGGAGTGGGGGGGCTTCGGGGACGACGGCTCGCTGAACGACATCCAGACCGAGTTCGACGTGAAGGTGGACAAGATGTCTATCAACCCCGGGGTCCACACGTACGTACAGCGGTCATGTGGGAAATTCACAAACCATTTCAATAATACATCTACCATTATTTTTCAATAATAGATGCCAAATATTGTCTGCTTCCATCTTCACACGAGAAAATGTGCTGCTTTTCTCTAAATTTGAAATATCTTTCAATCAAAACTCACCTCTTCAGAACTGCTTTTACTTTGTAATTATTGGTGAGTTTTATATATTTAAAGTTTTAAGGTTGTTATTTTATTAATTTTAGCATGTAAAGAGCTCTAAATAATTAATCAATCAATCAAGAGAATTTATAAAGATTATTAATTATAAACATTGTTGCACACAGATGATTGGTTGGTTTCATGTGTGTACAAACACCTAGATACACATTTCAGTTCCGTTTTTCTGTATATATTGACTTGTGAAATGGTATCACTCCATATTTCATGTTTCCACACATCCACAATTGGGGACCTTTAACCATAAGTATGGTTTCAAAATGTTTTGTTTTTTAAAGAAATGGGAACGAAATGCGCACATTTTTTTTGTTGTTCATCCAAAACAAACAGTTAAAAACACAGATTCTTTAGGATTCTCCCCTATTTTCTGATTACTGGCAGATATTTCTGACCCCTTTCTGGGCCTGTTTCGTCCTGTAGCTTTGAGAAGATGATCAGCGGCATGTATCTGGGAGAAATCGTGCGGCTGCTGCTGGTCCGGCTGACGGAGGAGAAGCTGCTGTTTAACGGACAAACATCGGAGGTGCTGCTGACCCCGGAAACATTCGAGACCAAGTTCATCTCTGAGATTGAGGAGTGAGTGTCCCATTCAACATTCAAGTTTTCAATCATTTTACTGGTCTTTTATTTTGATACTGCGGTCTGGAGTCGCAAACCTTTGGCACTGGTACTTAAAACATTTCCAGTTATGTCCTCTTTTAAAGAAAATGTAACTTTTTCTATTTGTATTGGTCTTAATAATATTGTTAAGCCCAGATCTCTTTACCTATTTGAAAAAAAACAGTTCTTATTTTAAGACGAGCTATTATAGACATTATACTGTATTTTAATCTGCTGGGCAACTTAATCTGTTATAATGTATCAACATATAAACACAACACACATTTTTATTCTGTGTTTTAATTTGTAATTTTAATTGTATTTATGAATGATTATTATCTTATCCTGCAAGGTAACTAAGCATGATAAATACATGTAATGCAGTAAAAAAGTGCAGGTTTTCTTGACCTACTTTACAAAAGAACCATGCTATTCAAAACAGGCTATTATAGACATTTTCCATACATTTTTGGACATTTTACACTATAAACAGCATTTTCAACCCTAACATCTGTGTGTCTTCACTTCCTGTCGGTGTCCGCGCTTCAGGAAGGAACACGGTCTGGAAAACACGCAGAAGATTTTGACTAAACTGGGATTGAAATGGGATTTGGTGGACTCCCGCGTGGTGCGTCTGGTCTGTGACGCCATCTCCTCGCGCTCCGCCCGTCTCTGCGCCGCTGCCTTGGCAACCCTTGCCAACCGTATCCGGGGCAACCGCAGGCTTGACCATCTGAAGACCACAGTGGGGGTTGACGGGACAGTCTACAGGAAACACCCCAAGTAGGAAGCACATTGAGAAAAATATACAGACACCATGACAATTAAATGTGTAAATGTTTACAATACATCACATTACATTACATATCATTTAGCTGACGCTTTTGTCCAAAGCGACTTACAATAAGTGCAAATGAATTAGTTGAATTAGTTGAATTAGTGATTTGTTGCTTGTATTTTTTTCAATACAAGTTAGCAAATATTACAAAACAGTTCATGTAGAAATATCTGTTTTTCTTTTCTTCTCTGAATAGCAAAGTAAACAGAATTAAATAGACAATACTAACAATACAAATCTTTTAAAAGTTCAAATGTAAACAGTTGTAGTCTAAGCTTTACTTTAACACCTCTATTTTTTATTCGTTATAATAAACTTAACTCATACAGCACTTTTCGAAAGAACGTTTTTATGGTTTAACATTCAGAACAGCAATGATACAAACAGTTCACAAATATTAAAAGTTCAAAGACACATAATACCTTGTTTGATTCTTTATAGGACTTACCGGTGTTGAAAACGTAATCAATTAACACTTAAAATACATTTTATCTGCACCCATCTACATTTTATAGTGTTGTTAATCATTTTTTGCAGGTATTGCGAGTTTGAGAATCATAAACCATGAAGATATATTTAACCATGGATATGTTATTAATTCTAAAGTAACATGAGATACAACAGTTTGTGTTGTAAGTGGATTTGTTTTGACTAAATATGAGACATTTTTGATCGATTTTAAGAGTTATCTCTGCTAAAAGGGCCATCCATCTTAAAATGATCATGTTAATCTTCACTCTAAAACAAGCATTGTTGAAAATGTAGACGTGTAAAGTAAAGCCTGAACATTTACACAGTTATCAATATCAAGGTTAAAACAAATATTTGTTTTGTATTTTGGGTTTCTAGAGAAGAGGACGTCTTGATTGTTTTCTCTACATTTTGTGGACATTAAATGATATGTCTGTGTGTGTGTGAACAGGCAAGAGGTGTTGACCCATAACACACTTCCTGTCATTGTGATAAGGAACTGCATGTTGAGAAAAGAACACGTATGAAACTCTCTCACAGTTTAAACGTCTCGTCACTTCTCGTTCCTGCAGTTTTATTTCCCTTTATTTGATTAACAACAAGATCTCTTCAAAAGTTTCACAGATTTAAAGGTTTTATGTCATAAGCACAGAAGATAGGGTGTAGTTTATTTTAAAAGTCCCAGGCTCCTCCAACAATAAAACAACAGTAGTGGAAAAAATTATCAGATCAGATATATAAATATTTTTAAAATGTTTGGAAGCAAAAGCAACAAATCTTCACATTTAAAAAACTGGAACTGTGAAATATTTTTGAATATCTTCTTAATTAATATTCCTTTTCATGGTTTTAGTTACTTAAATATAATGTTTGGATGGTTTCATTTATATACCAAATAATCATATTTTAAAAGTTTTAAGTAATAAGTAAATAAACCTGTAAACCTGTTGTGGGTTAAAAGTACCAAATTGGCTTCCAAAATGTAGTTGATTAGTCGTATAAAGTAGTATAAAATGAAAATACAAGTACTTCAGATGTGTACTTAAGTAAATTACTCCAGTAAATGTACTTAGTTACTTTCCAAAATAGTGCAAGAAGAAATAGAAAAACAAATAGTGACAAGGCAGAAATAAGTAAATCATGTTAGATAGATTTTTATTTTCAAACATCATGTTATAGTATATGATAGAGTTGAACAAATACTGCATATTTGTTCCACGTTTAAAGGCTTTATTGTAATGTGCAAAGCTACAGTGTAGTTATGGCTCCTCCAACAATACAGCATAAATATATATATATATATAGGACATAAAACAATAAAAAGCACAATATAAATAGCGCAAGAAGAAACTGAGTAGAAATACAATCGTGGAAGAGAATGTTGTAAGACTCAAGTGCAAGTTAAGCAGGAGAAGTTCACTTTATAATATACAAAATGTCCAATTTAGTCAGTTCTCGCAACAGGAAAATTAGACTTTTTACTGGTTGTATTAACATTTTAAGCCCAGATCTTTTAACCTATTTGAAAAAGAATCAGGTTTTTATTTGGCTATATTTTGGACTATCTACACCAGTGGTTCTCAACTGGTGGGTCGCGACCCAAAAGTGGGTCGCGGACCCGTTTCAAGTGGGTCGCGGATGTGTGAGTGAAGAAAAAAAAGTTGAAAAAAAAATTGCAATTTTCTTTTTTTTTTTTTTGGGAAAAAATGCAAACTTTTATTTTGAAGGACCGATTTTCTAACGCTGTGCATTCAGTAGGCGTTGGACTGGAAGTACCGGAGACCATAAATGGTTTTGAAAACTTCTGTCACGTAGTGATCATCTTCTCAATAAAACATCTCTGCTGATGTTTTTTCGAGTCTTCTGGCCAATCAGAATCAAGATTGTTGGCGGAAGTCCCCACGGAGAATAACTGAGGTAGAACTATTCTTTATGGGTACAACTTCAGATAAAAATGAACACATAATGAAATATGACCCCCGGTTTGATGATTGACAGGTCACAGAACAATGGGAGCTATCTACCCTTACCCACAATTTAAAGTAAATCACACAGACTATCTCCTCTTCTCGCAGCAAGATGTCAGAACTAAGTGAAACACAAACAATGCCATAAAATATTATTAATATGTCAGGTAGTAATAGATTTATTTATTTTCTTCTCAGAGTGTACCAGAATGCGTAGTTTATGTTAGTATTTCTAAAAATCTCCTGGGGGAGAATCCCCCCAGACCCCCCTGCTGGGGTTGGGTTTTCAGCATGTGTGCCTTTTTATATAGTTCAGCTTTGATTCCATCATCTCATTAAACCTTGTTTAAAAGCATACTTTAGTTCTGTGAAGGGATATATGCACTGTACTTCACTTTTATTAATATTGTATTCTGAAAAGCGTATATATTACAGCACGATTTTTTGTTGAATAGATTTGAGTGCTTCAAAATGTTGGGTCGCGATGTATTGACCAAGTAAAAAGTGGGTCCCGAGGCCTAACCAGTTGAGAACCACTGATCTACACCATAGCAAATGTACATTATCTTACTATTACCATTATGAGTAAAATAGCATAACAAACTCAATGCTGTATCCTCATGTATCTAATGCTTATAATAATACATAAATATGTGGAATGTAACCAAGATATATATTCTGCTTGACAAATGTTTTCTAATTTGCTGCTGTAGTTTCAGCAATGAGCTCCAGGCCACGGTGCGCCGCCTCGCCCCCCAGTGTGACATCTCCTTCCTGGTGTCGGAGGACGGCAGTGGGAAGGGCTCTGCCATGGTGACAGCGGTGGCTCAACGGCTGGCTCTCCAGTCCCGCCTGTTGGAGGACAGTGACGGAGACGATGAGGAAGAGGAGGAGGATAATTAAAGAGAACTCAGGATGCACAACAACACTGTATTAGTGTTGGAAGCTTGCAGTGTTGTCATGCAGCTAAGTTTGTTATTAATGTTATAAGAACATTTTTGTCTTCCACAACACAAACACTCTCTTTTGCACTCTCAATGAACTGCGTGTTAAACTGCGTGTTAAATTATTAGTTATCCTTAAACAAATCCAGTGCAAACAAATACAGATAAGAAAGTCAGACCAAAGAATTACTTGAACCTGTTTAGCAAGCATATGTTTTAGTCTTTTTTAAATATTTCTGTTTGAATGTTTAAAATGTTGCTGCTGTTTTTGTTTCAAATGGGAAATAAAGGGACACTTTTCACAAGGTGGTACGAGTTATTTCTGTAGTCAGACAAACGCATGGAAATGTATAAAATTGGTGTTTTTAGTTTATGTTATAAGAAATGATGTAGATCCTAACACAATACAGTAAATAGAAGAATAGAAGAACTGATGAATGTCTGGTTTCACAGATTTGAGATGGTGTTCTGGTTAATATCTTTATCCTAGAGTCTTATTGTACATTACATTACATCATTTAGCTGACGCTTTTATCCAAAGCGACTTACAATAAGTGCATTTGACCAAGAAGATACAAACTTGAAGAAACCAGAATCATATAATTAAGTACATTAGGTTTCATAGAGCCACACCATTTCAAGTGCTATTCAACTAGCTTTAGATAAGCCAGTCCTTTATTAGTATATAAGTCCTTTGTTAGTATATAAGTGCTTTTTTTTTTTTTCCATTTTATTGCTCGAAGTGGAGTCGAAAGAGATGAGTTTTTAGTCTGCGCCGGAAGATGTGCACGCTTTCTGCTGTCCTGATGTCAATGGGGAGCTCATTCCACCATTTTGGAGCCAGGATAGCAAACCGACGTGTTTTTGCTGATGGGAACTTGGGTCCCCCTCGCAGTGCGGGTGCAGCGAGCCGTTTGGCTGATGCAGAGCGGAGTGCACGTGCTGGGGTGTATGGTTTACCCATGTCCTGGATGTAGGAAGGGCCAGATCCATTCACAGCATGGTACGCTAGTACCAGTGTCTTGAAGTAGATTCTAGCAGTTACTGGAAGCCAGTGAAGTGAGCGGAGGAGCGGTGAGGTGTGGGAAAATGTAGGAAGGTTGAAGACCAGACGAGCTGCTGCATTCTGGATGAGCTGCAGAGGTCGGATGGCACATGCAGGTAGACCAGCCAGGAGGGAGTTGCAGTAGTCTAGGTGTGAGATGACGAGAGCCTGGACCAGAAGCTACGTCGCTTTCTGGGTCAGGAGGGGACGTATCCTCCTGATGTTGTAAAGAGTGTATCTGCAGCAGCGGGTTGTTGCAGCGATGTTTGCAGTGAAGGACAGTTTGTTATTTAGGGTCACACGTCACACGTCGGGGAAACAACAGAGGTGCCGATGTTGATTGTTAGGTCAAGAGTGGGACAATCTTTTTGCGGAAGAAAAAGCAGTTCAGTCTTGTCAAGGTTGAGTTTGAGGTGGTGAGCAGACATCCACTGAGAGATGTCTGCTAGACAAGCAGAGATGCGTGCGATGACCTGGGTCTCTGAGCGGGGAAAGGACAAAATTAATTGAGTGTTGTCAGCGTAGCAGTGGTATGAAAAACCATGCGGGCTAATGACAGGTCCGAGCGAGTTTGTGTACAGAGAGAAGAGGAGGGGACCGAGGACAGAGCCCTGAGGGACCCCTGTAGATAATTGACAAGAGTCGGACTCGGACCCTCTCCAAGTTACCCTGTAGGTGCGGTCTTTGAGGTAGGAGGTGAGTACATAAAGTACAATGAAGCCACAAGGAAGAAACCAGCAAATTTCCTATTTATTGGGTGGTTCATTTCATTACTAAATGTAAGACCATGTAATTTAATTGTTTGAATATTCCTTATACCAAGACTATGCTGAATAAAACGTTATTGTTCTATGGATTTCTATATTTTTGCATGATTTTTGTATCAATTTAATGAAGAACTTTGATTTAAAAAATATTTTGTATATATATTTTATTAATACAATCAAGTGTAATTCGACAAAAAGAGTCTAAATGCATGCAAAGAAAACTTAATGACCAGATCCTTTACATAGTAACTCGCTGTGTTTTGGCTGCTGCCTCCTGGTGGCTGTTATGGGAACTGCAGCTGAGTTCACTTTCAAATCATTTTCAATATTCAGTCTTGTGGTTGTAGTTTAGTAAAAACAGACATGCAATCATCATCATTTAACCAACCCAAGGTCCACAATATGGTGACGTTCACAGGGAGAATGAACCAGAAGTATACAAAATATGCAGTTTTCTGTAGGGCATTTTGTGTTGTGATTCAGAACAGCAGTCTTTTCTTAGGTGGCATCAGATCTCTTTCCACAACACTCACCTCTCAATGTCTGCAAAGTAAAGTACATGTACTTCAAAATTGAACTTGATTAAAAGTACTTAGTTTCTTCCCTACACTGTATACATGTGACTTAACACATATAAATATATACGAATCCCACATGAAACTGACATATTTAATACCAAGAGCAAAGATATTTAATTAATGAGGCTGAACCCTTAAATGGGCACACATACATATTTTGGAAAATATATTGATTGCTATTTTCTACTTTACACCCATTACACCGATATTATACCCACATTACACTATAATTACACTGTTATTATGCTCCTAATACACCCATATAACACATGAATACACCCCTATTACACATTTATACACCCTTATTACACATTAACACACCCCTATTACACTCATGTCACACCATGATTACACCTGTATTTCACCCATTATACCCATCTTACAACCATGTTACACTGTTATTTCACATATATTACACTATTATTATTAGACCCATATTACACCCATTTTACACATGGCCACAGCCCAAAAGACTCTATCCCCAAGGATACAGAAACCAGTTAAGGGTTAAATAATGTATTTATCACTAATATGTAATACAATCTGTCCAAGCAAGTCCATTTTTATTTGTGTAAACCAAAAATGGCAGCGTTATTTTTATCAAACGTTGACTGTTGATAATATGGAAGGTGTCAGTAAGCCTCTCTGCAGAGATCCTCACTGCAGCTCTCTGACATGCAGAGGACAGAGAGGAGCTGCAGCCTCCTCCTGCAGGCGGGGGGATCCAGCTGCTCGCTGCACACTGCAGTAAACTCACAGCTGTGGTATACATGCATAGCATATATGTATATTTATTAATGCATGCAAAACGAGTAATGCAGTGTTTAAGAGAGGACGTTATAACGATGGGTCGACACGATCATTGTGATCTATAATACAAATGTTTACTGCCAATTTGTATATAATTTCATGCATGGTGTAAAAATAAATACAGATATTCAAGCACTGTACCTACATTCAAGATATTTGTAATTTATCTGAGAATTTTATTTTATGCAACATGCTTTGGTGCTTGTTCTTATGCAAAAATGTAAGTAAAAGGGACCTTAAACAGAAAAAAACATTGTTCCCTGGTCTATGTTCATTCCTTTTTTGCAAAAACAAATATTGCACAGTTAAACACTCATACATGTAAAAATATCAGATATTTAATAAGAAGAGTCATTCAAACCTTCTTTAAAAAAAAAAACTATAAACTACTACTAGACTATAACACCTCTATTGTGCAATATTAATCATGTCCAATGTATGCATATTTACTGCTTTAATATTATTATTTCTACTGGCTGCTATCTCTTGGTTGACATTCAACTGTAATACATCTGTAAATAACTGTGCAATATATACTTCCACTTTTACTATCACCTGGCTGCTATCGCTAGCTTACTTTATACATGGTACATTTACTTATTTAAAATAGTGTTACTGGTGCTATTTGTTGTCCACCTGGATGTATATTGTTGTAGATTCTAATTTGCGTAATTTCTATTTTTGTCTTTAATATTTTATGAATTCCTCTAAATTAATATTTTGCTTTTTTTTTTGCTTTTTGCTTTTGCTGTAACCAGGTTAATCCCGCCCCCCTCCTTGTGGGACGAATAAAGGTAATCTGATTGCATTGTTTACTAAAGACACAATAACCCTGAGATAAAACACAATACAGACACATGTAATATGTGAAACAAAGTAGAGCAGGAAGTAAATGAGATTATAGTAATTACAGCTGATTTTCATTAGCCCTGAAGTGGGGGTTTAATGTGAGGCCTGCGCCTGCATGCAGGTCCTGCTGCAGCCTCATGGGTTCAAGCAGACACGTGCTTCCTCCCCCTGCTGGCCATATCCAGTCACTGCAGTTTATATCTGCTCACACCAGGATACATGAGTCCTGTGTGTGTGATCACGTTTCTCCACAAAATGAGCCGAGCTAGCTGTTATAACCTCAGCTGAAGCTCACATTTCACCTCAGGTTTTAATATTGGCACCAGAAAAACCTATATATTACAGAATGCGTGTGTACACAGATCGTAGATAGGCCTACATATTTTTTTAATGTATAGCTACGTTTTCTGCTGTGTTGTGTGGAGCAGAATGAATCCCAAATGTTTAACCCTTAAGAAACCTCAGAAAAACAAGAGGGAGGAAACTCACTAGGCAGACAGGAAGAACAAGTAAATAGGTAAATACACAGAAAACATGGCAGGGAAGCCTTAGTATTCTAGTATTTCTATTTAATAACACGAATATCATACTTTTTACTCCACTAAAAGTTCCCTAGTAGATATACAAACACATGATATGCTGATATGGTATAATGCAGTACTAATCTATACAGTATTTCATGTCAATCTAAATGTTGGTTGACATATATCTTAGACAAAACTAAAATGCTCTCACATGAATAAACACAGGAATCATTTAAACATAAATGCAACCATGTAATACTGTGAAAATATCCATTCTGCATAATGAGTACTTTTACTTGTATTACTTGAAGTACATTTAGCTAATAATTCTTCTGTACTTTATATTATTTTTGAAATATGCCTGTGTGCAGAATGAGTACTTTTAATTGTTGTACTTTAAGTACATTTTGATGCTATTACTCTTCAGTAGAATTTTTTATTCAGGGTTTTTACTTGTAGTGGAGTATGTTAAGACCATAGTATTTGTACTTTTATTTAAGTAAATCTGATTACTTCTTCAAACACTGCTTTTACTTGACTTGAGTTGTTTCTACATTAAAAAAATAAATACAAATAAAGATACTTTGCTGATTCCTATTATTGACACAAATAATAAATTAAGTTATGATGTGATCTCCACCTTTATTAGCTGCCACATAATAATGTGTCACAGTCAATATTTTTGCTGCACTACATTTATCTTAGTGAACATATTCAGTACAATATGGACTT